ACTGAACCTTATAGGAGTGTACAGATAAAGAAATTTATGGGTTGCTCTCAGCCCTAGGTTTCTGGCCATAATCCATGCACAATCCTGCCTTCCTGCTCCTCAAACCTACAGATATCAAGGGGAAACTGAGTCAGTCCTGGGGCAGTGGGAAGCTCAAGCCAGATGCCCCATTCACCTTGGTATTAGAAGCAGGAATGGTTCAGGGATATTTCATAAAATCATTACCAACCCTAGAAGTCATCTGGTCTGACCCCCTCATTTTCCAGTCCAGAGTGGGAAATGACTTGCCAAAAAAGTCAGAACAAGGGCTAGACCCCAAATTTACTAACTCCCAGGCCAGTGTTGATTCCACCATAGTTACCATTTCTAGATATTTTCATCTAAATTATTTAAATATTTTATTATTAGTTTCAAACAACAAATAAAATCATTTATATTTAATACTTCTCAAAGGCATGTATCACTGATTAACTTTGAGACAATCTAGAAAACAGAAATTTAGCTTTTGATTTAGAGAGATTTACGGTCAAACTTTTATCAGTTTACTAGGAAGATCCTAAAATTTGAATTTTTCAAATTTTTAGTTATTTTCTCCATTTTGTCTAGTTTAGCTCTACAAGAAAACTTCATTGAAAAAAATGAGATGTGATTAATAATCCTGTGATGAGTCTGGGTAAAGCCTTTTTACTGGGAAATAGTCCTCCCAGGTTAAAAGAGCAAAAGTCATTCCTGAACGCTACCTATTTTTTGTCAGATAATTTCCAATTATTTGTTTCAGCTGATATGTTGATAAAAATAATTTCTGATGATAGATCATTATTCAATTGTTACACAGAATTCAAAAAAAGTCACAGAATGAGACAACATAACTAGAACAGGTTTCCTTCTTGGGTTCACATCTTTGGAATCAATGTATTGTAATGGCCTGGTCCTGAGCCTGTTCGTTGTAGCAAGAAGTAGTGTTGGGGCTGGGTTTGTGGCTCAGTGGTAGAGCACTTGCCTAGCATGTGTGAGGCACTGGGTTCAGTTCTCAGCACCACATATAAATAAATAAAATATAGGTCTATCAACAACTTAAAAAAATTTTTAAAAGAAGTAGTGTTCACTTACAGGTATAAAAATTAATGGGAAAAAGAGAAAACTCAGCTCCATTTATTCTTCTAAGAGGTGTATACAATGTGAAGTAAAATTTCACATTTTATGCCTACTAATTATCTTAATTTATGCACTAGTTCTATTTTAGTGATCTCTTTAGAAAAAAAATTCTACACATGGAGCTTATGATAATAAAAATTTGAAGTTATAGTGATTGATATATTTAAAAATAAAGCTATATTAAATTAGAATAAAATTCCATGTATGAGGTAGAATTTAAAAAGTTCATTCAAGGAGGAAAAAGAGTTAAAGAAAGGTACAACTGTTAAAGAACTTATTCATGTCCTTTTAAAGGTAGATTTTGGTGGGTATTAGGTCACTCTTTTTTTTAAATTCTTTTGGCTATATTTGAAAGATTGCTTTAACAGTTTTATTTTTAAATGTCACAATTTACATTAAGGGGAAAATGGCATCCTTTGAAACTATGTAAATTTATAATAAAAATGTTAGTTCTCAAAAATGTACAAGAAGTATGTTACTTCAAAAACACTTTTAGGGAAACTTTGACCAAAGGGAAAAAAATAGTATGCAGGCCACTGCCCTTGATGAGTCTGATGTAGTCCCATGTCAGGACGGAAGCCACCCAAGGACATCAACCAAGCAGGCCTTCCTCCTCACCTCCATGATGCAGGCCAACTGCTCCACCTCATTCTCCCCCCGGGGAACAGAGGGTAACCCGGGTACAGCTCTGCCAAGATGCAGCCCAGGCTCCACATATCAATGGCCATATTGTAGGGGTGACCCAGAATCACCTCAGGGGATTGGTAGAACCGGCTCTGGATATAGGTGTATACTGTTAGGGCAAAAAGAGAAATCTGATGTGGGCAAGCTGGCTTTCTCTCCAGGGCCCCCTCTCCAGGATAGTTTGGCAATTAAAGATGGCAGATAATTTAGAATCTCCCTATCCCCACCTTCTTACCCTATTGAGCTCTGCAAGATGAAAGTAATATCAAAAACAAAACATCATCAAATTCTCACAACAACCTGATGATTGATAAGAAACTCCAAAGTAGGCATTGTTCTGAACAAGTTAAAGCAGGGTACTTTAAAATACTTTATGTCAGACAAGTTTTTAAAGAAGCAAACCATAAAACTAAGTTTTCAAACTGTCAGGTGAGCTTTGGAAAGATAATTTCTGACAGTATTGTGATTTGGCACTGGGGGAAGCATATCAGAATTGGAAGTGTACAAAATGCAAAATTTAAATTCAATGTCTATTCAATATATTATATATATATTGTATAATGAAGTACTAAAAGATAGAAAGAAAATTATATTGTAGGGGGCCTAAATTTTATGGATAAGGAATCTAAAACCAGGGAAATGGAACATTTTGATTTTTCCTATGTTGTGATTTCCTGGATTGAGAGGGGCTATAATCACTTCTTTAATGTTTAGATTGGTTATAAGAATGTAATTATTCTGTAACTTAAAATAAATGTTTGATTAAAAACAGCTTTTATACCATGCCTTTTCCAAAATGAATTTGAGTACTATGCCAAGTTCATATATATAGGGTACTTTAAATCATAAATTTAATGGCACCTGTGTGGTGCTTAGCAAGTGCCAGGCACTATCCCAAGTGCTTTATGTAGATGAACTCTTTCAATCCTTACAAAAGCCCTATGAAGCAGGTACTATTTTGTTTCAGTTTTAAAGATAAGAAAACTGAGGTTAAATGAATTGTCAAGATCATTCAGCTTCCAGTGAACAGAGCAGGGAATTGAAACCAGGAAGTCCAATTCCAGTATCCATACTCCATACTGCCTCATAGTCAAAGATAAAAGGAAAGTCAGGAGAAATATAAAGGAGGACGTTACTGTCAGAAAGCAAGTATACAGTAATTGCAAACTCAGTTCTGAGCATCCTGGCAGCCCAAGATAAATAGCAACTAATAGGTTAATACAGTTGCCAATATCTAAAAAGAGTAAACATACAAGTTCTTTATGGGGAGCATTGTTTTCTGGATGGAATTCTTATAGGATCCATATGGAAAAATATATTAAGGAGATAGGTCCTCCAAACTGGTTCTGCAGACTATTTGGGAATACCTATCCGATAGTCCTTTCTGTAGCCTCAGAGGGCTCTTCTGACACATTCTGACACCAGGAAGCCTGGTCCCAAAGTCTTTTTGTGTGTGTGTGCCCTTAATAGAGCCTGTGTATCTTCCCAATCATTCTACCTATTTTATTTTACTTTTTTAAAATCTTTCTGTCTCTTACATTATACATAAGCAACCCAGGACAGGTAATATTTCATGTTTTGGTTTTGGTACCCAAACCAGCAAATTATGAATACCAGAAAATAGATATTTGTTGAATGGTACATGTTTTCTACATCAGTCTTGACAGAAGCCAAGTTAATTAAACTTAAATCAAATCCAATAAAGGTTGATGCAAATGTGCTCCAGGGCTACTTCCTGCATTCTAGTTTGGAAAAAAAGTACAAAGCCTAGAGAATCTAGGACAGTAAATCCCAAACATTAGAATGGCTGTTTTCTAAAGTGCAAACTCCTGTGCACTCTCCAGAAATTTAGTAGGGTGAGGTTCCTGGAAACTATAATTTTTCAAAGACCCAAGGTGTTTCTGATATACATGTAGTTAGTTTTGTGACCCAATGTTTATTGGTAACTTCATGTCCACAGAATATAAGATCTTTAAAGAGCCTCTATGGTATTTGAATCTAATTTCTCATTTTATAGATGAGGAAACTTAGGCTCAGAGAAGTTAAACACCTTGTTCAAAATCATACTAGTAACCCTGGATGGCTGATCCTAGATTGGAACCCAGGTAGTCTTGTGTGTAAACGAAGAGAAATTGCAATGGGAGAACTCAGACAGTGGGGAACCTACCTTTCTGGTGCTCATAACAACTGAACCCAAAGTCAATAACTTTAACTGTGATTTGGCCCTTTTGGTATAGCACTATATTTTCCTAGCACAAAGAGAAAAAAGACAGGTCAAGTTTATAAAAATTAATGTTTTCCAAGGTGCTCCACTTACTTAAATGCTCACCCCTACAGGGCCTAGTTCAAATCTGACCACCTTCAAACTCCTCCTCTGGCATCTTCTCCACATTCCATTGTACTCTCTTGCTCTTATTTCCCATTGATTTGTAGTTTACACCTTCTTTGGATTCACTATTCACTGTTTTGCATGTATCTTTCCCCATATTGATTATGTAACTCCTGAAGATGGTGGGTTTATTAATATCTTCTTCCACACCCAGTTCTGTGCCTCACTTGCCTTACAAATATCACTGAATTGGTTTAATGCCCCTGTAGACCTACCACTATGACAATAAAGAACATAAATAAACAAACAAACAAATAAATAAATAAGTAACTAAATAAGTTAGATTGGGGTTTGTGTGTCTCACACTGACTTTGGGGAACCCATGAAATGACAAAGTCGAGCTTCTGGGCTCTCCTTTCAGCACTGGCTGAGGTTGGAAGATTAAAGTCCTACTTGTGCCTCAAGGATCTCACGTCAAATGAATGGATGATGTGATTGCTTGCTGAGTACATAACATGGCACATATGACATAGCAGGCCTCTTCTAAAGCCTCTGGTGCCAAAACTAAAAATCCAAATGTTTGTGTTAATGCAAGGAGGATAATTAGCAGAAATCTTAAAAGAATTTCTAGTGAGTCTCTAGCCCAATGGAAAGAAGACCCCTTCACTAGATGGGGCTGGCCCTTTGTTATGATAAAAGCCCAAAGTTTGCTGTGTGGAAGGCTTAGTCATCAGCCCATGGCACTGTGGAGAGGTGGTAGGTCCTTTAGGAGCTGGGACTAATTGGAGGAAGTTAGGTCACTGAGGTTGTGCCTTTGAAGGGGATATTGGGGCCCTGTCTCTTTCTTTGGTTCCCAGCCGCATGAGGTAACAGCTTTGCTCTGCCATGAACTCCTAATGCCATGTTCTGCCTCATCACATGGTTGAAGTCATTCAACCATGGAGTGAAACCTCTGAAAACTGTGATCCAAAACAAATCTTTCCTCTTTGTAAGTAGTTTATCTCAGGTATTTTATCACAGGGACCAAAAGCTGACTACCATACCCTCTCATCTCCCATCTTTTTGGTAGAAAGAATTCCAGGGAAGGGACAAATGCAATGAGCTATCATAGCTCATCCATACTAACCATGAAGTCCATAAGAATAATTCCCTGATTCTTTACTCACAAAATACCCTGCTGGTTGTGTGTATGTTTTCCAAAGGGATGCACATATTTGGTCTACTTGATATACTTTGTCAAGGAAATCTGTTACTTTATATTTTAGCCATTAAGTGTCTTACAGACTTCCTTGGTGAAAGTCACTTCCCTAAGCCCAAGAACCATGGGCACTGCAAATTTTTGGAACCGCAAAGCTAAAGGTTAGGAATTTGGAAATGGAGAACAAAGCAATGTCCTCCCATATCTTTACAATATTAAGTTACAAAAAAAATCCTCAATTTTATTTATGAGTAACAGTTTAAAAAATTAAATCATGTTTGGGGGTGCAGAGAAGGGAGTAAGGAACTTAAGGGATATTCACCTTGTGAAGGTCAGATTACTTTTGGAACGAGTGTTCCTCACATGTTGTCCTTAGCTACCTCTATAGTATTACTTCTTCATATTGGCAATCATTGGCTCATTTAACAAGCATTTATTTATTGCCTTCCATTATTCTCACAGGCACCATGTTAGGTCCTGGGGACATAACAGTCTGACCTTGGGAGAGCTTGCAGTCCAGTGGGAAACACAGAATGAGCTAAGAATACAATACTAGCATGACAAGTAAGAAGGGCACAGCCACTGAAGGAGAGGAAGTGGTCTGAGGTGTGCCATACCTGAGGAGCAACTCAGAGTACAGTGGATCTAGTAAGGATTTAGCAGAGCAGAGTAGTAGAATGATCCATCTACGTGAATGGCACAAGCCTCTGCAGAACAGATAAGGGAAGACTCTAGAATCCAGCAAGAATTCTTAAAAACTATAAACGACTAATGATTGAAAGGGCAAAAGTGGGTAAACCCAGACCCTCACAACTACTTGTGGAACATCTTGATGCTCAAGACAGCCACCACCCACTCCTACCACTTCTGCAGGAAACCCCTCTGATTCTTAGCTGCCTCAAGTACACTACACCTCTCTTAGTCCTTCCAATATGTGTGCCTCAGGCTTCGCTGCATCTCACTTAGCCTATAAGCAGGAAAATTAGGGCTGCCACTCTGGAAGCCCTGGCCATGCTGGCTGCCCTAACTGCCATTAAAGAGAACCTGCTCTCCTGGCAGGACAGAGGTTATACTCACAGGCTTGAGATCACAGTGGATGATTTTCTCTATGTAAAGCATTTGCAAGCACTTCAAGACAGAGAGGGTGAAGCACCGAACTACCGATAGACTGAAACCTTGAAAGCTATTACTCTTCATCAACTCCTACAAGTTGATTCTGGGAAAGACAGAAAAAGTGATGAGTATAAAAAGTATCCAAGTTTGAACCTACAAGTAATCCTGTGTTATCTGAATTCCCTTCTAGAAGCAAGTAAATCTCAAATCAGTAGGCAAGGTTTTTCTTTCTGATAAACTGAGCCTTCTCAGTGACTCAGGGTAGACCCAGATTGGCACTCAACCATGCTGGATTCTCCAATGTACCCTGATTTCTTACATGACAAAGCCACTTAAGTACTTCATTTACATGTGTGGGTTCAGAGATTGGATCAAATTTCTATAATAGTCATAGTTCTCAGGCCCTTGGAAGGGCCCTGGAAGCCCACTAGTCACTCAACCAAGTCATCCCTACCCTGACCTAACAAGATTATCTAAATATTGTAGGTAAAGGAGAAAGAGAGTGTACTGACAAGAGCTAAGGTAAATGATGGACTCCTACTCTATTAAAGACAAGTGTGGCTGCTTGGTCCCATCTAACTGTGGCTTTGCTATAATGAAGGCTGGCTCTTGCCAGATAATCCTCAGTTCTCTAGAGAGGCAGAATCCTGAAATATTATATAAAAGCATATTCAATTATATGAAATCTGCTAACTTACAAGTCTTGGAAACTAATGCCAAGCATTTTAAAAAGAAAAACTTGTTTGTAAATTGCCAGTTTGTGACCTCTGTGCAAACTGTGAGACAAAGATAGGAAGGAAAGAGAAGGACCTAGAAATGACTCTGCAGGCTCTTCCTGATCTTCCATTTCTAAGATTATCTAGCCTTGATGGTATTTAGAAAGCCATATTTTTTGTACCAGGAATTGAACCCAGGGACACTTAACCACTGAGCCACATCCCCAACACTTTTTTATATTTTATTTAGAGATAGGGTCTCAATAAGTTGCTTAGGGCCTTGCTAATGGCTGAGGCTGGCTTTAAACTTGCAATCCTCCTTTCTCAGTCTCTTGAGCTGCTGAGATTACAGGGGTGCACCATTGTGCCTGGCAAGCCATTCATTCTTGAGAGGTACAACAGAGAAATGCCATCCTGACCTGGGCACCTCCACCTTACTGGGCTTAGGATTCTCCTTCTACACACTGACCTCTCTTGACCTCACAGAGCCCTTTTAAAGTACAATGATGTCCTAACTGGGCATTGTGATTAATGGGCAAGAAAGGCAGCCTGGACTGTCTGTTTTGCTCCACAGAAGACGATCCACTGTTGCATATGGTAGGATAGAACACATTTTGTATTTATCAGAGATGGTGAGGGGAGTGCCCATGCTCCCTCTCAAATATAGCCTGTTCCTAGAACCTCACCATCAGTGATGGTGTCGTGGGAGCACCAAGAACTAATTCAGGGAATCCAGAAACATATGTCTTCTAAGGGTTCACCCTGATTTTTCTCCTTTGCTAAATGTCTTCTGGGCTTGTTTAAATTGCAGCATATTGACTTCTCAGAGAGAAGAATAATCAAATTAGCATGCATTTTCCCATTTAGAATGCTTTTACAGTTCCAATATTCACCCAAATGATTTCAATCTATTTAAATCAAGACTCTGCTCTCTTACCCAAAATATCTGCGCTTCTCCTTCTTTACTCAGAATTAAAGTCCTTTCCCCACTCTGATCATCCAGCTTCCTGTTCTTTTAGGTTTCAGCCTCTATACCGTAGAGATGGGAAGCCAGTGTGTGGGGAACATGATAGCAAAGAAAGTCCTTTTAAACATGTTTCAATTTAGCTCTTGAGGGCAGAGGCCTTATTTTGGACTTTCCACCTACTCAGTACTTAGTCCTCAGCACCAGGGAAGCACAACATGAGTATGCTGGCAGATAACAGGTTGACTGAGGAATGGGGTGAGATCTCCATTTTGGGTCCCGTTCTCCTCCCTCCGGGACCTTCTAGATAACTGTGCAACTGCTATGTCTATACTAGTCACTAGATATTCACGCCCAGAAAAATCTAGTTTTATGACTTCAAAGTTTTTCTTCAAATTCCCTTAAGCAACTTTTCAAAAGAAAATGAATCAAAAAGACTGACCCCAAAAGTTCAAAGGTGATGCAGAGGTGATTCCGGAAGTAGAAAAAGTCCTTCATGTGTACCACATTGTACTTGTTGTCTTTATCCTTCCTTCTGAGGTATCCTAAGCTCCACCAGGGCCTGGTGGTGAAATCTGAGGTGATTGGGGAGTGGCAAGGAGGGTGGGGAATGAGGACAGAAAACACAGGTATCATATCATAGTGCAGCAGTTAGCCCGTTTTCTCAGACCCTACCACAACCCCAACAGAAATGTCTAACACCGCAGAAAGCACTAATAACTCCACACTCTAACTTCCGCTTTGCCCCTTCATGGACTCAGACATGAAGAGAGAGAAATAGGAAAGGGAGAATAAAGAGAAATATAAGAGGAAGAGGCAGAGGCAGAAAGGTTTGGAATCCTGAAGCAGCTAGAAGCCAGACAATCCATCTTCTATGGCCTATGTTATCCATGGAGCCACACCTCTTTTTGTTCCTGATGATTTTCAGGGCCACCAACTCATTGTTTTCGTGATCCAAGCACTTGGCCACCTGTCCAAAGGACCCTTTTCCAATCATCTCCAGAACCTCGTAGGGGTAGGGAATGTGGTCATGCAGGACCGGCAGAAGCCAGGCCAGAGGTGAGGAAAAGAGCCAGACCCTAGGGCCCTTGGATCCCCATCCCTAGATCATGGGTCACTCCTTGGAGGGGAGTGGTTCTGAACTCCCACCCTTCTCTCTGTTACTGTAGTGGTTAGGTGATCTCCTGGATCCAAGACCACCCATGTGGTGCCAGGGACAGTTAGTTCCACAGACTCCATCCATGTCAAGCAGTGAAAAGAACATTAGTTAGTCTTTGGAAATGTTGGGTGCTAGTCCCAGCCCTTTAGTTTCCTGCATGTCTTTCTTGGGACCTAAAAAGTAAGGGGGCTGGATAAAACTGAAAGTCCTTTCTATTCTGGACATTTCATGACTCTTCAAGTTCAACATCAGCTCCCTTTTAGGCGAGTTCTATCTCTGACCCTTGATGTGCCTCTATCAATCAGAGAAGGCTTTATGCCTGTTCTGTTCCTTCCTGATCAGATTTGTTCCTCTCTTATACTTATTCATATTTAGTCCCCTTCTGAAGTTAATACAGACTTCTTGGTGAGAGTAATATTTTCTAAGAGCCAGAATCACCCATGACTATCCTTGTGCAAGAAACCAGGTGTTTAGTTAAAACCACAGGAAATTTTCCATTAAAGACTTGAGCTAGGTGGCTTCAAATAAGACACTTATGTACTCTGAGCTAGAGTGAACTCATCTGTAAAGATGAAGATGAGAATCTGGATTAGATGATTTCTCAGGTCATCAGGCTCTTGATCTCAGCTTTCTACAATTACACATGAATTTGAAAGAGGTGAGGGATGAGCGTGTACAAGTTTTCAGGTTGGTTTGTGACTGTGTGTTTGAGGATAAAGGATTATTCACAAAGAAGAATCAACACCATAAATTTGAGCATGTAAAACTTTTTACTGATACATCAGAGAGGGTTAGTCTAGACTAAAAGCTCTTTCATGAAAATGGGACAGAATCTGCACAAATTTGGCATATATTTTTCAAGCATTTACATTTATCTTCTTCATGTCATCAGTTTGGTTGCCTCATAATTATTGGCTTAGATGTCAACTTGGACTTTGGTTGTGCTTACTTGACTCATGATAGTTCCCTTTGTATTTTCAGAGTCTAATAGATGCCAAGCTTATGACAGGTGCTCAGTAAATAATTTTACAATTAACATTTGTTGTGAGAATGTAGCTATCATTTGTTTAGGAATAAAATATGCTGGAATAAAATAGGAATAAAAATTGGAGCTTACAGAGAATGCACATTATCCCTCTCTCCCCATGCAAATCATACTTCTCTAAGATTTGAGACTGAAGAACTGAGTTCCAGTGAATTCCCATAAACGTAGTATTGACACCCCAGGTAATTTCTTAGAGACTCTAGACTCAGGTAGGGAAAAGATAAGGAAGGAGCAAGGAGTGAGGGGTTGTGGACATGTGGTTGAATTGGAGAAAATGTTTATATTGAAGATTCTTAACCAAGGACCCATTAATGCCCCAAATCATTGCACATGCACAGCTTAATGTTTCTGGGATGAAGATACTCAAATGGATCCTTGACCTAAAATTGTTAAAAACCAGGGATCTAGATGAAGAGTGAGTGATGAAATCACATCCTTGCTTCTTAGAAGTGTTACCTAAGGACCTGTGGTATAGGCTTCACCAAGATGCTTTTCAGAAATGCAAAATCTCAGGTCCCACCCCAGACCTGCTAAACACAAATCTGCACCTGAACAGGAACCCAAAGTGATTTGCCTGCACAGTCAAACTTGAGAAACATGATGTTAAGAAAATTTATCTTTTCTATGAAGCCCTCAAAGATTCATATCCTAAAACCAAGTTGTGATGGAATTTCCAGAAGTAGGAAAGTGCAGGCAGCTCACAGCCTGGTGGACTAAGTGTCACTCATGCAGGCATCCTCAGAAGAGGGGGTCACTGTCCAGATTTCACCCTCAGGCTAGAGAGAGGCATTACCCTGGGATCCCCAGAGGTACAGTAAGAAAAGGAGGAGTCTCTGCAATCAATTTTTGAAAAACAGAATGAAGTAAAGCACTGTGCATGAGGGACACTACAGTGACAAAAACTATTCTTGTCTGTGGAGGGAATGACATCTGCTATAAAACACAAAAGGAGCCATGAATAGGCTTGTGTGGAGGAGATAAAAAGGGAGATTGAGGGGCAAGTGCATCTTACTCCAGTCTGATCTTTTCCAAGGGGTCCAGGACGGTGCAAGAGAATAGGCTGTGAGAGTTCATTCAGGATGCAAACTTATTATCCCAAATACCCTTGAAGAAAATCACCATTCTGTTAGAAGATTTTGCATACTAAATTTCATGTTTAAACAAGGTGTTTATTTGGTTTAGCACTCATTAGCATCTGTTGGAATGTCTAGTTCCTGTCATCTGAACACAAAACATTATAAAATATCCCCTTCTGCTTTCCTTTCCATACTCTCTTTTGCACCCAAGCCACCTGAGGTCACCATGACCTCTTCCCTGGTCACCTTCAGATAGGAGCCATGTTCATCATCAAAACTTGTCTTGCTGAATTTCTCTGGAGCTACATTGAGTTTCTCAGCATCAAGCCCAGGAACCATAGCTCTGTGTAGCCCAGGATTTCACTTTGCTCATAAGGAGACAGCTTACTCTTAAAATTCTTTAGGGCTTCTATGTGAAAAAACAGGAAAATTGTTAGTTAAGTTGAGGCATCAAGGGTATTACCGAAAGTGCAGACGATGTGATGTCTTTTCTAGTTCATGAGCCTTTTCCTCAAATAGGTGGTTTCTTAAAGATCATGCATGGAGAATATTCCCATGAGGAAATATAACAAGGATAAATGCCAAGGTTTTGGAACTATTTTAAAAAATTCAATATGACAACACAAACATAAGGGAAAAGAGAATTTAGTGCCCCAAGAGCTATGGGTTGCTGCAAAATATGAATTATTATTATCATTATTATTATAAATATTAGAAATAATAAGTCCAGAAGTAAAGCCCATAACAACAATAGTGTACCATTAARGTGATATTTGTCCAAGTTCATGTGGAATCAGGTCAGACAAATCGTTTATTTTGAGAAGGTTTGAAAACTACAAGTTTTCTGGACCAGGCAGGTGACATAAAAGCAACTTTAAAAGTCCATTGGTATAGTCCAAGGAGAAAGATAGCTGGGTCAAACTAACAGTGGTTCTAGTCCCAGATTTCCAAGGAATCTCCATACTGCTTTCTAAATTGGCTGTACCAATTTGCAGTCCYACCAGCAATGTATGAGTGTACCTTTTTAAAAAAAAAAAAACAGCATACTATAGGAACACAGCCACATCAATGTTTATAGCAGCACAATTCACAATAGCTAAACTGTGGAGTCAACCTAGATGCTCTTCAGTGGATGAATGGATAAAAAAAAATGTGGCATATATACACAATAGAATTTTACTCAGCAATAAAAGAGAATAAAATCATGGCGTTTGCAGGTAAATGGATGGCATTGGAGAAGATAATGCTAAGTGAAGTTAGCCAATCCCCCAAAAAACAAATGCTGAATGTTTTCTCTGATATAAGGAGGCTGACTCATAGTGGGGTAAGGAGGGGGAGCATGGGAGGATTAGATGAATTCTAGATAGGGAAGAAGGGTGGGAGGGAAAGGGAGAGGGCAGGGGATTAACAAGGTGGTGGAACATAATGGACATCATTATCCAAAGTACATGTATGAAGACTCAAATTGGGTGTTAATATACTTTATATATAAACAGATATGAAAAATTGTGGTATATAAGAATTGTAATGCAAAAAAGTACATGTATAAAAGCATGAATTGGCATGAACATACTCTATATACAAGCATATGAAACATTGTGTTCTATATGTAATTCACTTCTCTATCGTGTATTTAAAAAAAATAAAATCAATAAAACTAAAAAAAAAAAAGAAAAAAAGTCATGTGGTTACTCCCACTCTGGCCTGCAGGGGAGCCAGCTAATACTTCAAACCATAGAGGAAATGCTTGTTAGTGCCTCTCTAATCTACATGAGACAGATCACATGAGCGTTTGTGTTAGGGCAAGGGGGGCGAGGTGGGGAGTGAGATTCACACTTGAATAAAATGAAGAGTACTCAGAGACAGGAAGYCAGGATCAGGGTAGGAGGCACCATGTTTTTTGACAAACTGCTGAAAAGTTGAACTGTGAGGAGAAAGAAAGAAAAAAAGACATAGAGCACAAGGCCACTGTCTTCATATACCCGAAGAGCAGTCACGTCCAAGCTAAATAAGGCATGTTCCTTGCCCAAAGGACAGAATCAGGACCCAAGATAGAAGGAGGCAGATACCATCTCTGTAAAGGCAGAATGAACTCAGAACTGAAATCATCTCCTGGCAGGAGGGTCACTCCTGAGATCATTTAAGAAGGACAACAATTTCAACTTCAGCACCTTGGCAGAAGAGCTGTGAGCAGTGGACAGTGTTGGCATATGGTAAGTGCTAAGTGGACTTTGGTTCTCTTCCTTTGAATCCTAAGAGGTCATGAAATCTCTGAACTTCGTGAGGAGTGTAGCTCCTGCCAGAAGACTGTGTGTGATCTTTCAGACCTCACGATAGACAATTACCCAGGCTTAATCTGGCAGGCTCCACAGGGGCAGCTCTCTTCCCACACCAGACTTGGTCCACAGCCCGAGCTTGTAGTCTCTGACCAGAGCTGCAGCTGAGGACCAAATTCTCCAGGCAGGCGACTGACTCTCTAAGGCATCTGAGCCTGTCTAACCCAGAAGCCCCCACTCAGAGCCCTCTATTGGAGACCCAGCTGAGGCCTGCCTCAAGCACCTCTGCCAAGAYCCCCTTGTCAAGAGAAAGGCAGAACTTTCAGGACACTTTACTTTCAGTATTCTGGACTTGTCCACTCCTMGCTCCTCCCCACTCACTTTCCTCTGTTCCTAAGTCCGTAAAATGACAGAAGTCTTTTGTTGGGGCTCCCCAGGCAGTGAGACAGTGCCCTCTGTCTGCACTAATGCATCTGACGCTTACCTKGAATAGTTCCAAGGTAGGTAATAGAACAGTGTGATGCTGGTACTTCCTCTTACCCAGCCTCTTGTTTATACTGTTTCAGTAAGAGGGTAAAGGCTTAACTTCTTTCATTTTCATTTGTAGCCTTAGTTGACTACTCCAACATATGGCAGCTAAGCCCTCTCCAGGTCAGCTCAGCTCTTAACACTGACCCCCCCCAACCACCGCCTATGCTGCTACTGCCCACCCCACCAGTGTCATACCTGCTGCCGTCAGAGGCACCTTGTGCTTCTTTGGYGGTTTCTCTTCTACCTTGTGTTCATGAGTCTTYATGCTASGGTGGAAAGGTGCTTCTAAAGCCTTGTACTCAGAGGCCAGCTTACGACTGTGCGTTTGAATTTCCTGTCCAAGGAAAGAAATTGGTAATAAAGAACYACTTCAACTTCTTCTGGGGGACATAAACTATTTRTATGCCCCMAAACACTCACATCCAGACAGGATTTGTCCTACCTTTCCAGGGAGAAAACRGTAGTTAAGARACAGTAGGTTTTCTCCACCTTTCTCCCAAAGGAAGTATCTAATTCTCATCTCATGCCCCAGGAGACATGCACATTAGAGCATACAGTTGACAACCCCAGGGGTGTGTCACTGTAGAAAGAGATGAGAACAGTTTTTTTTTTTATCATTGCTCTTGAGGAGGCCAGCTCCTAACTAGATAAAGTAACTTGCTTAAGGACATGTAAACTTGAATTTATATAACAACACCTCTTACGACTTTCCTACATAGTATCTTATTGGGCCCCTATAAAAAAATGGTAGATGACATGGAAGGAAAACAAGATTTTGTTTTCTTCTATCATTTATACAAACACAACTTCATTTTTCCTTTCCTCAATGAATCACCCCTGACGACTCCCTAAAGGCCCACTTTGTAGGTAAGAGAAAGTAAAACGCATATTTACCCAAGTTCATATTCAGTACAAAGAGTGAGAAAAGGACTTGAACCCAACTCTTTAGCTGCTACTCCTTTCCCCCACCTTCCTGGACTTTTCTAGATGTGGTTCTGAACTGAAGCTAGGTCTTTCACCTGTCTGCTCAGGAGCATGTCCGCGCCCTGTACTCACCCGGGACAGCACACCAGGCTTCAGCAGAATTTTGTTGCTGATGTGACAAAGAATGTTGACCACATTCTTCTTCTCCTTGGAATCCATAAAAGGGAGTGAAGTAATGTTGGTGTTTGTACCCTATAGAAGGAGAAATTGGATAAGGTATAGAAACCTCAGATAAGAAAATTCTCCAGAGGTCATTTCTTCTAGACTCCTCTCCACAACAAGGATGAGCGTAAACCCAGATTCTTGGAGGGAAAAAGAAGAAGATTCCAGGGAACAGATTAATCTAGCACACAGGATCTGGGGTTGACTCCCCATTCCACCACTCACTAGCTGTAGACACTGAATGGGTCACATTGATTCTTTCTCTCAGCCTTAATTATTTCATCACTCTCAAAAACGGGACCTACCTCATAGCTTTTGTGAAACTATGTAGAGTATTCCATAAGTGATAGCCATTATTATTCTCATTCCAATATTTTACCTTCCAAACATGGGGAAGGCCTTTCTGCTATACAATGCAAATCTTTCTTGATGCAACAACAACTCCCATTTCCTCTACGGCTACTTTATAGACTTGACCTTCTCACTTGGGTCACTGCCCTCCTACATTGATTGATTAACTGATTGGGAAAGAGATAATCTAACTATCAACAAATAGCCATGTTTAAGACTGTGTGGAGAGAAACATGGTGATATGGATAGAGGGCTCTCATTGTCATGCTGAGTTGGCCAAAAGTTCCTGTAAAAAGCTATTTCTTCCATCCACTGCCCTCGTCCTTTCCTAAAGTCACTAACCAACACTTCCTACCTTATGCAAAAGTCGGGTCATTTTGAGGTTCTTGATCTTGGAGGGTGGCTCCTGGACTTGAGCCAAAGGCTTATTTTCAACCTGAGTCAAGTAGAAGAAAAGTGTAATAAGGTCCCAAGCCACCTGGACCTTTATTTCATTTCCTTACAATAAGCAAGGTATACTTGAAGCCAGCTTTCCCGATCCCAAGCTAGGAAGAGTTCAAAGAAGCTCAAAGAAGTACTCAATGCATGAAATGAATTACTACTCACAAATAATCTTTCCAGAAGTGCTAATGATGGATCCACTTGTCTTATGATTTTCACACCTTAAAAAATCAATATATGCTTTCTTCCAACACAGTCTTAACCAGCATTCTTGTAGATGGTAAGGAATAGAAGTGGAGCTAATGTTATCTTGCTCTTTAGGAAAGAAAATGCTCTTAGTCTTGCCCAGAACTCAAAATGCCCAAAGATGCCTTAGTGGAACCTGCCAGGACACAGGTGCCCAGCCTGAACATCAGAAAGGCTTCACATCTAGAAAGGGGTGGAGAGGAAAGGACCACAATCTTAGAACAATTTTTTCCAAGGTAGTAAGCACACCACAGGGCTAGGTGACATAATTCTGTGCAGGATGCAGATAGACAATCACCTAATGGCGATGCATTTATTTTGCTATCCATTTGAAAAACTATAAGAAGCACTTTAAGCATGTGATTTTGCAGTTGTTATTACTTAGGATAAAATCAAAATTCAAGTAAAAAAATAAAAGGGAGCATGAGATATGGCAAAAATTATGAAGGCAGCACTGAAATAACTAAAGTTTAGCAAACAGCCTTCAGTTTGAACACAAGTTCTGTTCTTTGAAACAAAACTTAGAATTCTCTTTCTTCCAGACCTTCCCTAGAGACCTGAAGGAAGCACATCTAAAGCTGAGATACAGGGGGGCCAGACTCTTTTAAATTTGGCAACTGAGGTACAGCATTTATTGTCCTTTAGCACAGCTGAGTCCTCCACAGAGCGGTACTGATGGGGGCATTTAGAATATTAGGTCTTGACCTCCTGGAATATGAGGGTAATCTGAGGGAGAGAAGACTTCACAGAGCATGGGCCATGGTCTCAGACCATGTTGGTTTATTTGCTAATGTGCACTACATGCAGATGTGGTTATCTATGAATAGACTGTGATGATATCTGAGGAAACATTGCAATTGTGAATCCAACTTCTCATTAAGTAGGTTTACGAATATTAAAACTCGGAGGTATCAGCAGTAACAACAAGCTGGCATTGAGGATGCCATGGAGAGACCAACAGGTGAATGGAAAGTACATCAACAAAATACAGCCCAATT